CATTCCAGTCAGTTCAGCAACAGCAAGGATGCAAACACCAGAATCCCAAACTATCGAATTCGCGGAACTTCTGTATTGGACCGGACTGCGCCGAGCCTTGTTTTAGTAATTGCTGGCGTGCGGGCGCTTATTGCTTACAGTGCAGGGAAGGCAATTTCCCCGTAGGCTTATGAGGGAGTTTTTTGAGTGTGGTCTTGGCAGGGAGGCAGGGGGCAAAATCCAGAACTTTCCTGGATTATCCTGGGACTGGTTCTGGAACGAAAACAAATCTTTGCCCAATCCAAGCAGTCTGGAAATAAGGGTAGAATGGCTTCCCCAGTGCATTGATTTCTATGGCTTTCTGGTCTAGCGGTGTGTTCCTGGTTTTGCTGTTTTAGCCAAAGCGTAGGTATCAAAGTGTTTTTCTTTTACACTTTGTGATATGTTTTGGTACTGGTCGAAACGAATGGTAGAGAGGGGCGGGTTGTGCCATCGGTGGATTCGAACCAGCGACCTGTAAGCAAGCGCTACTTGCCACTGCGCTATCGCGCACCAGTTGCTTTTTCGTAATCGACGAAGAGGAGACACAGACTGGAGGCAATGGAGCCTGGGATCGAAGAGCCTGGCTTAGCTGCACCTCTAAGCGTGCCCGTAGCATCTCTAACAGGACACTAACGAGATTTTCCCACCAGTACTCCTTAGTCTTGGCCTTGCTATATAACTGGGAAGGATACGGGGACTCGAGAACCACTGAACGAGGTTGTTTCACGTTAACTCCACGTCGTGAAGATTTTCGCGCACTGGGCTCATTTCCGAAGTAAACATTTTAATTAATTATAGCTTTTGCAGTACTGACATGCATTGTGAGGATAGTGTGGACCTGGTGACGCATCTGTTGGCCGAGAATCGCAAACTACGGCAACTCTATTTGTCCGAGCATCAGAAGGCAACAGTCGAGAGACGAAGACGTATTACAGCGGAAGCCCGTCTTACTGCACTGCTCAGCTTAGGATCCTTTGAAAGGCGCAGACCGAACGAGTATGTTGTGATTTTCAGTTTTTTTGGAAAAATTTGAGTTTTGATTAAAGAAATGACCTCCTCTCCGTCTTTCTGCCTGTCCAGTTGTCACAGAAAGTTATAATAGGAAAGAATGGAAAAAAGAGAAAAGAAAAGGAAAAGAAAGGCAAGAAATGAAAACTAGGAAATTTGTGAGATTATTATTACGGTAAAAGCGTCCCGATCCATTAAGTCGTATAAATTTCTTACCATTACCACGATTGGTCCTCGTTAGGGCTGTCTAAGAAGTGTTTTAGTCCTTTAAGTCGTATACATTTCTTACCATTACCACAATTGGACCTCGTCAGGGCTGTCTAAGAAATGTTTCGGTCCATTAAGTCGTATACATTTCTTACCATTACCACAGCTGGACCCCATCAGTACAGCGATTGTGGTCATGCTGTCTGCTTGATGCTTGACTTTTTCTTTTCGCAACTGCTATCTGAAACTTTTGAAAATTGATGGTTTCTCAAACAGATTTTGCCTGGCTATTTTTACCTCAGTTATACGAATGTATTATCAAATCGTACTGAAAAATACATTGTTTGTATCGCAAAGGGAAGTGGTCACGGATGAAACAGTGGATTAGGAGATGATAAGGGATCAATCTAAGTATCATGTGTGGCGAGACATGTCTGTATGCAGTCTGTGTTTCATCCTTCCCTACTGGAGATCCGATCTCTTATGGGAACGCCGCTTCCCGACGTTCAGCTGGAATGTCAACGAAAGATGATTGAACTTTTTATTTTTGTGTTTTATAATTCAGATTGGGGATGGAGAGGCAAAGCGAAGGCTTCGCCCTTACACTTTTTTTGCTATTTTTTGGCGAAATAACGATTTTATTCTAAGTTTCAGAGTAGTAACAGAAGCGCACAGTGGAAATGTTCTCGACAGAGCCGGTGTAACAGTACGTTTCAAACACAGCTTTTTATCCATAGAACTTCATAAAGACTCTCAAATGCTTGTCCAGAGCATCCCGGGCAAAGAAAAAAAAACAAATTTTATTCTAAAGAAATTACAAAAAAATTGTGAAATCTCTATTTTTTCATTTGTTCAGCAATTTGGACTTTTCGAAGACTACTGCTTCAGGAGGAGAGCAGAACTTTTGGAAGGAATTTTGCATCCAGCAGCGATTTTTACCCAACTGATACTGATAAATTTGCTTCTGTGATTAACAACAAAGTGAAAAATATCGAGAAACAACCCAGCAGCCAAAAGTCCAATGGTTCAGAGAAGGCAGGACGAGGACCTCATGAAAGGCCGAAGCAGTTGACGACTAATGGGCGACGGCATTGGTCATCAGATGAGAACAGAAGTGGGGAAGAAACGACTGGTTCAGAAGTCTCTTATGTCGTAAGTTTCGGCCTTCCATTAAGAAAAAAAAACTTAAAAAAAAGAACTTAGAAGTTTTTTTTTCTTAATTTTTTTTTTCTGGGATACTTCTGCAACTGCTGTGAAATTGGACTTAGTTGAAGGGAATGTTTGTGACTTGGAGTTACTCAGCCAGTGCATGGAGCTGTACTTTTGGAGGGGTGAGGTGGGGGG